GGGGTCTAAACCGGGGGGGGGTGTTTTTTTTTTTTTTTTTTTAAGTGTGTGTGTGTGTTTGACAAGGCCAACGGAAGTGTGACCCAGAATAAGTGTTACATTGTAAAACAAAGAGGCAGGATGACAGGAATTTCCTTCCCAGAAAGAGGCAGCTCCCACCGCCGTTTGTCTTCGGGCCGTTCGTCCATCCCTCTTCTCAGCGGAGAGACTTTTCCTGAGTCAGCTGTGCCAGGGCCGCATACACAGCCCTTTAACTTCCATGGAACCTCAGATGGTTTGATCAGATAAAAACATCAAATAAATATAGAGCGGGGGAAAAAAAACCCAAAAACTTACGTAACATGACGACATTCGTTTCGTTGCCAACTCAGTCATTCAACTTTCCCTGATCCTTTTCTACGCTCCTAAACACTCCTCTACCCCCACTCCCTTTCCTGTGCACTCTTTCTCGCCAGTGACGAAGAAGAGCACTTCCTGAGGTCACGCCGTGTTGGAATCACGCTGCGTAATCTGCTGACAGCAAAGGAAGCAGAGAAAAAAAAAAAAACCCCAGCACTTGTTGGGGGAAAAAAAAGGTGGAGTAGAGGATAAAAAAAAAACCCAGCACTTGTTGGGGGGAAAAAAAAGGTGGAGTAGAGGATGAAGGGAAAGACTCAAAAAAATATACATACATGTAGGAGAAGAACACGTCAAAACTTGACATGAACTGCAAAGTTAGAAGTGTTGGGCCATGTCTCCGCGCTCCGATGCCTGTGGCATGTTAAAGAACCGAAATGAACAGTTTGCGACAGCCTCGGAGCAAGGGCAAGGAGAACTAATCTCTTAATCCGTGCCCTGCTTTCAATGAGGCAAATGTCAGCATCAAATAATGTAAAACAAGGCAGCGGGTTATTGCCTGCTGTTTGTTACAGTCTGCCCTTGTCATGTCTTCAGCTCCTGGAGGGTAATCCCTGCCGTGACTTGCGGCCCTGCTAATTTATTTTCCTCTCTCTCTCTCTCTCTTTCTCTTTCTTTTTCTGTGGGCAGGACAGCAGTTCTGGGTGTTTAAGGACACCGTGCTGCAGCCTGGCTACCCCAAGGACATCACCCAGTTTGGCCATGGCATGCCTGCCCAGAGCATTGAGACGGCGGTGTGGTGGGAGGACGTGTCCAAGACCTATTTCTTTAAAGGCGACAGGTGGGTGTAAACGGAGATCCGCGTAAAGTTCGGTTCCAACCGTTACCGACTTGTACAGCGCTCAACATCAGCTATTGACATCAACCAATCCTAATTAAGACGAGACTGCGTGCACCCTCACGTCCTCGCTGTCGGGAAAATCCGCGTAAAAACAAATCAGGCTAGCATGGGCGTGGGCAAACGTTTTGACTCGCGGACAAAAATTCGTCCTAAAATTTGACGGGGTCGGGGGCCGGGTCAGGATCAGATACATGAAGCTTTGGTGTGAACTAGCCTTCTCTACGCCATCTAAAGGGAAAATGTGGGCATTGAAAGGAAAAGGCAAAAGTATAATCACAATACAAACCAATTATATTATTTGGTATATTGGTTGGATAAATTCTGCGGGCCGGATTACAAAGCTAAACGGGCTGCATCCGGCCCCCGGGCCTTAGTTTGCTCTTGCCTGGTTTAGCATGTACCTGTGTTTTATTATAACTATTATTACGATTATTCTTAGTAAAGCTGGACAATCAACTGTGCTGTGTTTGGTTCAATGACACGTACCACTGTTGTGACACACTCCTTAGATTGTATCACTCATGTCTTTTTTTATCTGGCTTACTGGACTGAAGCTGGTCATACCTCTTTAAAGAAGTGTCATTACGTCAAATTTATATATTCAAACTAATATAATTCTTCTCTCCGGGACGCCTATAATTCGCTACCATTAGAAGACTAAAGGTTAGCATGACAGAAACTTGAATTCAACCCTATATATTAAAACATAATGGGAAGCAGAGGAGGAGATAGATCTGACAGAAATATTGGTGTAAAAAGAAAAAAGAAGAAACTAAAGGTCCATTCTGTCTTTTCTTTTATTTATTTATTTTTTTATTAGAAACTAAAGGTCCATTTTGTCTTTTTTTTTGTTTTATTGCTCTGCTGTAGATACTGGCGCTACAATGAGGATACAAGAACCATGGACCCCGGGTATCCCAAACCAATCACAGTGTGGAGAGGCGTGCCTGACTCACCCCAGGGGGCCTTCGTCGACAAAGTCAACGGTAGGATTTGCTGGAGTACAACCAGGGAGGCATTGATTACAATCAGCTCCCGTTTTTTCCGTAAAGCGACTGTCATGTAGCTGTAGCAAAACCTTTCGTATTTCAAAAGATAGTCGGTCAATTCGGTGTTTAAAGCAGGATTTGTAGGAAGCAGAAAGGACAAGACCACCGCTGGGGGCTTATTTCTGTCAAAGGCGGCTGGCCTTGCCAGAAAAGGGAAGGTTAATTTCACGCCTCCCAAAAGGCGTACCATTGGACAATCAGTTAGAGCGAGGAGCGGAGAAGCTCATCCCATTGGATGCTCCTGTCAGGTGGCTTTGGACCTGGTCTTGGCAGCTCCGAGGTCGGAAAAAACAGGACAGGTGGCGCTCAGCACTCGAGCCATCTGCAGAGGAAACATGAGGCCAGAGCTGTAGCTGGGCGTGTCTCCTCGTACTGGCCAGATGGAGCGGGCATCAGTCAGAACACGGAGCGTGAATTGAAATCCATAAGGATGTTTGGTGTTTTTTTCCTTCCCCGCATGTGTCGGGCCGTTTGTTTAGCGTGGCGGCCGCTCGCGCAGACAGAGTGCGCGCAGCGGCTTCTTGCTCATAACACTGACCTAGATAGGCAGACATAACAGGGTTGGATGACACATTGTGAGGCAATGCGTTTCGAGAGTGGGAGGACCCGAGGGCGATACTGACCTAACTCTCACCCACAACAGCCTGGCCTGTGTCAACCCCCACCCGCCCATACTGTCACGCTCGTCGCAAGGCCCGAGTGTCGGCGTTCAGAATGCGGTTGTTAAAGTGTGGCAGAAGCTGTTGCTGCCAGGTTGCCAACACAAAAATCCCAGGAGCTGATCGCCGTCGTCAGCCGAGCTCTGCCCGAGAGCTCGAAAGGCGTCGTGTGGGGAACAAATGATGCCGTGAGGCTAACTTTTTTTTTTTTTTTTGTAATTGGTCGTCACAGTCGTTATGATCTACATTGAAATCACAGTTAAAAACACAATCGCTCTCGGGTCAATATATTCAAATATATCAATATATTCTAATATTCAAGTATAACAAAAAAGTGAATAAGAGCAGAGATGTAGTTTACTTTCAAAATATACCAGTTTAGCATATGAAATACACAAAATAAAATAATATACAAATAGAATATTTTTTTAAAAAGTATTGAATATAAATACAACATAAAGCCTATATTAATGAATTCCAAATAATACATAAATATATCCACATACATATCTGCAAAGCGCTGACTTTTTAAAACAAAACCGCCGAGTATGGCAGCATAAAAGTATACTCGGAGAGCGCAATGTGGTAATAAAAATGTGATAATAATAATCTGCAACCACAGTGTTATTGCGATCACTTGGAGCCAAAAATCCAAATTTGATTAATTGCGCAGCCCCAGCCAAATGTCTCACTTCTATCGATCTATAAACACCTGATTCTACTATTTTCTCTCGTCCATCGCAGACCTACCCGCCGTCGCAGTAGCTGAAACGACCGAGTACTCGACATCTCGCTCTCCTCAAGACACGAACTGAGAGTCTTTGAAAACTCTCAGTTCCGAGTTATTTGACGTTGTCTGGTCAAGTTCTTAAATGCTTAAGACTTCAAACTTTTTTTTTTCCCCCGCACTTCTTCACGCCCTCTCTACGAACATCTTTCCCTCGCTGATATAAGATGCCCTCTGGTTATTTAACCATCTGACTCCGAGTTTGGAGTGTGTCTCCTCATTTTCCACACAAAAAGAATACATGAATAATAGATTAGAGGAAAGAAGGTCGAATTGTGACCAGTGAATGAGAGAGGAGCTTGAACGTCGCGCGCGGCTTTTTCAGGCATCGTTTACACGCTGTACCATCTTCCTGTCCTGTTGGCTGAAGGCAGGAAAATAAAAAATAAATGTACTCTTTTAAAAGGCGTACCTTAATAAAGGAGGAATTTGTAGTATTTTGCTATAATATGAAACGTACAAATGTTAGAAATCCACTCATATTTGCTTTATTAGCATAATCCGAAAAATATCCATGATACAAACACATCTCTCTCTCCCACTAACTTTATTTTTTGTCTAAAATAGAGCTTCCCAAACTGGGGTCGTGTCCCTCTTGGGGGACATGATAAATTTGTAACTGTACCTCTTTGGGAAAAATCCACAGATCTATACTTTTTAGAGATGTCCGATGATATCGGATATCGATATTAGCATAATTATCGTCATATCGGCAAGAATCGTTTTCCCTCCGATAATGAAAACCTGATAACGCAATGCCTTGGTTTCGCAAAATGATGTGTGTCTTAAAATATTTTTTGGGGGGAAAAACGGCTGCATGTGAAAGTGAAAGCCACTAGATGGCAGCATTGCGGCTAATTTTAGTAATCTATTTCAATAATCACGGGGATTGTATGCAGAATGCCGATGCCAGCAAATCGTACAGTGGTTGCACAGATAAACGATCAAAGCGATAGCTGTGAATGTGTCGACGTTATCTACGTTTTTAATGCCACATCTTAGGGTGTGCTACCACAGAAGGCCTGTAGGGGCTATCTGGAAAAATGTTCTCAATAAATCATCTGATCTAATCACCGGTTGAAAACATTTAATTGTGTTGTCATTTGTTGAGTGCACTCTTGTACGTATTAAATTATTGTACAAATAGCGCTAGGACATTTCACAAACTTGTGCGGGGGCGGTTAGCTGGCAGTCAAAAATTAATTAAAGGAGTCATTTTTTGAAAACGAGGGCTTCAAATAACTTACCCATATGAAAGTGGAGGAAACTACTGTCCACAAAAAAAACCCCTGCAAAATCTACAATTTTTAGACTTCAAAATGCCGTTCGGGAAAGTAATGACAGGGTTAGGGTCTTAACCATCAGTGACCAAACAAAATCCCCTCCCGTTTAAAGTCTTCTGCCTGTGAAATTAGTGAGTGGCGGGGAGCCGAGGTACTGTCCAAATGATAGACGACATTGCTTTAAAAAGATTTATTTGTACCGACCGAGTAAACAACGTAGGAATAAATAGAGCAACGTAAAGGACAGATGTTCATCCCTCCTCCTCCTCTGATCCGCAGTTCTTCCGAGCTGACGCCGCAGCGCTAGGTAAACTCAATTCACCTCTCCACGTGAAGAGCGACGCTCACGGCTTGTCAGTGAATTCATTAAGTCGTACGACGCTCGCCGCCGAACGCCGCGGCGGCAAGCTCGTCTCCCGGTGACACTTGTGTCACGCCGTTGTCTGACGTGAGCCGTGGGCTTTGGTTCCCTGGTTGTTGTGTTTACTCTTCTATGACCAGATGTAATTAGTCCTCAGGGACAGTCGTAGGAAAACCCAGGCCTGAGAGGAGATGCAGATTAAAGGTGCGGCGAGTCGTCACCCTGTGGTTAGGAGGAAAAGTTTTAGTTAGTGTTTTTAAAATAGTAACAAAAATGGGAAGTCTGAACGGGACGTCTGCTCAGCTCCACCCACGTAAACTAACTTTAATGACGTCCATCCCTGCATCGGGTGGACGTTTGCTGTCGAACATCTAAAGCAGGGATGTTTTTCCACTTTGCTGTCATGCAAAGAAGTACAAGTATATTAGCAGCCCTATCAAATGTCATTAGATAGATGGGCCGGACCAGTACAATTATAACATAATTACCTATAAATTACAATAAGTCCATGTTTTTCCCCTTTTGTTGTCATGCAAAGAAGTACAAGTATATTAGAAAGTATTCATATTTTACGAAATATTTGACAAAACATACATACTAACTTTTTCACTTTTATCAAGCGGGCCGTGTTGAGCCCGCTAGCGGGCTGGTTTTGGCCCTTGGGCCTTATGTTTGACACCCTTGATCTATAGCAAAGGTAACCAAATATATTTGTCAAAGGGCCAGAATTTTTCTATCGATCGCAACACCCCTAACTTGGATTGAAATATAACAAATTGATGGATACTGTAGTATTGATTGGAAGACATGAGGCTCAGCAAAGTCTTAAAGATTCTGAGATTTTTATTAAGAGTGACCAGGATAATAAGGATTAGGAATCCTCTGCCCGGACGCACTGCTAAGTCCGAATGTTTTTGAGGTTTTGGATGAATTGGTTGATAGACGTTGGACATGGAGCCGCAGGAAGAAAACGACAGAGAGCACAGAGAATCGTAACGGTTTTACTACGACAGAGAGAAAGAATGAATGGTGTAAAGAAGTCTAGAGTAGACGAGAGGGGGAAAAAAGTGTGAACTTGATCCACTATTTTAAAAAATATACCTTAATACTGTATTTAAGATAAGATGTGATAGAGTTAACGGTCATTGTAGATACATACAATTATACTACAAATATATATATATATATATATAAAAATATATGTATATATTTATGTATGTATGTATGTATGTGTATATATTTATGTTTTTATATATATATTTATGTAAGTATAGATGTGTATATATTTGTTTTTATTTACATATATAGATATATGTATATATATATTTTCTATCTTCTGTATATATGTGCATATGTACAGTATATATCTACATGTGTCATACCCTGAATATAAAATGGAAGTTACTGTCTAAAAACTAATCATATTCAATCCATATATACAGTTTGAATCCAAATGTTACCAATTGCCAACAGTTTTACAAAGTACTGAAAAGAAAAAAAAACCTCTGGACGTCACTTTACGTCTTTCTCCTTGTACTTCCCCAGGTTTCACCTACTTCTACAAGGGAAAGGAGTACTGGAAGTTTAACAACCAGTTCCTTCGGGTCGACCCAGGCTACCCGCGCTCCATCCTCAAGGACTTCATGGGCTGCGAGCTGATGCCCATCGACCCGGGGCGCCCGCCGGCGGACGACGGCAACTCCGGCGTGGTGATCGAGCTGGACAACGAGGCCAACACGGTGAAGGCCGTCGCCATCGTCATTCCCTGCGTGCTGGCTCTGTGCCTGCTGGTGCTAGTTTACACCGTGGTGCAATTCAAGAGGAAGGGCACGCCGCGGCACATACTGTACTGCAAGAGACTGGCAAAAAAAAACAAAAAACAAGACAAACAAAAAACAACAACAACAACAAAAAAAAACCCAGAATGGCAGCCCCACTTTCACGCAGAGGAGGTGAGTGGACTCTGGACACCTTTAGTACAACACGCAGCCACTCGCTCCCCAGGAGCGTTAGGGTGATTCTTATGGCCTTGTTCTGACCCACAGGCACAGCCTGACAGCCTGTCTGCAGCCCCTGCAGGATTGAACTAAAACTCTGCTTAAGCCCAAGCCTTTTTAACAAACCAGGGCCGGGGTCACTTACTTTGCAGGGGGTGGGGACGGGGGCTTTACCAGAGATACCCTTACTTTGAAAAAAAACAAAAACAAAAACAAAAGGCAAATCAACGCAGGTTGGCTTCACTTTGTATTTCGGATACTTGACTTCCTGTCTCCTTCCTTTTTTTTTTTTTTTTTTTGTTCTTTTGCTCCTGCTCCAAAGGAAGACGTTTTCAGGAGGACACTGCATCTGCATCTGTCATATCAGGTTGATGATTAAACTGCAGTTTTGTATTTACTAATCTTGGTGCCCTTGTTTCCTCCCCACTCACTCACACAAACACACAAACACGCGCGCGCTTGACTGTGTGCTGAAGAGAAAAAGAAGTCTCAGTTAAACACTACATTACCGATCCCCGCTCCCGTTTCTGTTTACTTTTGGTTTTCTAAACAGTCGACCGAGGTCCTCACTGTTCCCTTTAAAACACTCCCGAAGAAGAGACCAAACCAAACCAAATAAAATCTATTTCTCTTCAAAGAGGATCACCTTTATTTTTATTTTTTTCTTCCCTTCTCTGGATCATTTTTCGAAGATTAAGGGTTGACCTTTGACTGTTGTGGCAGTCTGTCTGAGACACAGGGGCCAATTTATTCTGCAATATTTTAACTCGCCTTAATTACAGTATAGATCATACTTGTGCTTGGTTTTGCTGTTTTTAGTGATTTTTTTTTTTGATTTTTTTTTTTAATCATACCGTTGTTTATTCGTTCGCTTGTGACGAGGATGAACGGCAGCTTCTCGTGACGAGTATTTCTGTATTTTATTACGTTACCCAGAGACGTCAGCACTGGTTTGCTGAGCTGCTCTGGATAAAAAGAAGAAGAAGAAGAAGAAGAAGAAACACGGAAGGATCCGCCTGCAGTGAGAGAAATGTACTGTATTGTATAAAGATGTTGGAAGGTGCTGGAGACAAGCCACTATTTTTGAGTGTTCCTGTTATTAATTTCGTGCGACACAGACTCATCAAGAGCTTGACAGTTTTTGTTTTTTTTGTTTTTTTTTTGTTAAACGGATTTGCTGATGTAGTTTCTATTTCACGTCCGTGGCCCATATCCCTCAGTATGAAAACACGTGCATTAAACTGCTCATTCTGTACGCTTTCATGTATCTGGATGGACTTTTTTTTTTTTTTTTTTTTCTTTTCTTTTCTGTTGACTGCCTTGTTTCAGAGAGCCTACGATTTCCAGACTAAGGACCCGCAAAGTTAAGACACCCAAGTCGAGATCAGTGCCTGTGTCGATGTGCATGCAAGCATTTACTGTATCATGGGTCCGGCTCTACAGTACATGGCTTCGGTGCCCCTCTTTCGAGAAATACTGTTTGCATTTATTTTTGTACATTTTATGTGTAACCACACCCCCCCTTCTCCCCCCTACCTCCAGGTACTAAGGAAAAATAAAGTCAGGTGGTACATCTTTGTGAGATCTGATGGCAAATAAAACTGGTCTCAATCACCAACCAGCTGTTCAAACACGTTTGTGTCCTTTCACCTTTTTTATGTTTGTGTCCGTCTTGATCACCGCACACCACAAAAATCAGTCAAGTTTTGGTCAAGATTTTTTTTTTTTGTGTGTGTGTTGCTTCGGAGTATAAGTCGCGCTAGCCGGCTAGAGTGCGCTCTAGCGGCTGTCAGAGCGAAAATAACACATGTGAAAATATATATTTTAATATATACAGTAAGTCGCACCTGAGTATAAGTAACAAACCCAGCTAAAGGATGAAAAAAAGTGCGACTTATACTCCGGAAAATAGAGTAAATAAGAACATCTATGATGGTATAGAGGTGTAGAAATCTGTTAGCCACGGCTAACAGATGTCTATATGTACCATTGACACAGTATATAAATTCTATAGTAGTATGTAGTAGTGACCATATGCTGTAATGATTTAATCATACTGTGTAATACAGATACATATGTTTCACACGACTTCAACATATAATGTATATTTAAAGTATGTTCAGTTTATATGTGTCAATATATATTTAACGTTTTATAATGTAGTGTAAATATATATTTAACGTTTTATAATGTAGGGACATCACTTTAGCGTGGTCATGTGAATAGTAGCTCCCTAGCCAAAAAATGTGGACACCCCTGGTGTAGGCCTGTGCAGAGTGAGTCAAGTCAAACAGCCATCTAAGTTCGAAAGATTCCTAAAATGATCCCAGTTCTGTACAAGGAACGTTGTCCCCACTTGAACCCATATTTAAAATTACATGTCTTACATGAACTTAAATATAGGTTAAACCAACAGAACATGACACATCCAATACTGAGCAACCGGACTGTCTTGATGCGATAAAATCCGAGCCTCGAACGCTGGATCCCAGCGACGGGGCCCTGACATTAATCGTGGAAAAACGGGAGCTGTTTTCACTTTCTTTGGGGCTTAGTTTAGCACTGCCCTGAATCATAGTCACTGACGAGAGACAGCAGGGTGAAACCAGTTTACCGACTGCGGCCCGTGTGTGTCTACGTTGAATTGAAATTACACTCCTTGGAATAACACATCTTTGGTTCTCATCACAGGCCTGTGCCATGGTAAAATTGCCTTTCTACTTTGAGGCTGAGAAGATGTTATATGTTGGACTATGTTTAGACTGCTGGTCTTTTCCTCGGGCTCTGTCTCATTATCTTCTCCCTCCATCTCTGTAAATATAGACTGTGTGGGACTGTTCTCACTCACACTTCCCAGCACTATGTATACACTACATACCAGACAACCAGCAGTGTCACAAGCAGTTGAGACATAAAGTCTTTCTCTGCAGGGAGCGGGTGTGTGAGTGAAAAAAGTTTTTTCGGTCCCTGCCGCTCTTTCGCACCTGCCAGGTTGAGGCACCGGTGCTTTAACCCACCTGCACTACACCTGACCACGTCGCCCCCCTCCCCCTGCCTCCCAGCTGCTGCTCCCGCTGTGGCTTCAAATGTGAGTAATCACAACGTGAACCGGAGAAATACATTTTCGTTTAACCCGTGCTGCCTAATGGCCCCTTTGAGGTAAAGGCCCATATATCCTGTGCTGTTCATGGAGCAGCAAGCGCACAGGAGCTCCTAGAAGCTTGTCGAGGTTCCGCAGGGGGTCAAACTTTTGCCTTGACCCTAATGACGGCGCATAAAAAGACACTCAAAGAGATTAATGGATTTTTACCGGTGTTTTGCAGCGGACCTTTGCTCACAAATCTGAGGACACAGCCTCTGTGTGGGTGGGGTAGGCGTTTTCATGTTGCCACGGTGCAGTGTTCTATTTAGTGTGGAGTGTAAAGTGTTACTACACGTCAACATGTTTGTGTCTGAAAAAAGAGTCATGACGTTAGGGACAGGGACCTTGTTCTGTACAAATGAATTGTGAATATCTGTAATTATAAAACCCCAATCAAATGAATGGCAAAGGTGACGTCATTTGCCCTGGGAAAAATGTCGTTGTGGATATCTAAAATGACAATTACGGATTGGAACAATGTCGTTGCGGATATCCGAAATTTTCTTTTTGACGAGGCAAAACTGAGTTAGTGGCATCTGCAATACATATCCAGCTTAGCCTTTAAATGTTAAAACGTCATACTATAGTCACGTGACTATTTAAGCCCGCGAAGCTGGGTTAACGGAATCCGGATGCGGAAGTTACGGAAACCGGCTTCCGCTGCTTGCACCTGAATGTAGCGGCTGCTCCAGGTCGTAACTTCAATGTTAAAGTAACAAAGTATGTTCCCTTTGCAAACACACCGAGTTGTGAGTATTGTTTAGTGGATGTACGTGAAAAAAGAGTGAGGAATATCGTGTGTGTTATCCGTATTAAAGCTGGCGTCGACCCCCCCCGCCCCAGAACACGAACGAATGCTCTGTTGCTAACTGCTAGCTAAATCAAACAAAGTGTTTTTTTATTCTTACTCTAGTAAATGTAACTTTAAACTTCAAAGTGATTTTTATTCTTACTCTAGTAAATGTAACAGAAAAAAAAACAACATTACATCTCTATTCATGTAATTGTACTACCATTGACACATTTTGGCAGCCCTGGAACTACCTCTTTGTAGAGACACTCAAACACATCGTCACGCTCGTTAATCTAAAATATAAGCATTGACACTGCGCTGCCTGTTCACATTGGTCTGTACAGAGATATAGCAACAGTCCGTGTGTTTTCATTCCACATTCCAGACAGTCCAAAGAGACGTTACGTGATATATTGGAAAGCAACCATGTTATATTTATATATATATATACAGTATAGCTATATAAATATATTAATTGCTGACTATTGTTTACATTCTCCCTGTGGTGTCTGAAAGCTTTAAATTCAACGGCGCCAGCATTGATGTTACCGAAAGTGTGTTCACGCTGTATATTTTACTGTACCTTACCTTTATCCTTACCATCAAAGATAAGACGTTAGATTATAATAAATTCTTTGTTCTATCTTCACTGGCTCCCTGATATTGTAGTCTGCTGTTCCTGCTATGTCTATGTTTGTTTAAACAAATATGGAGTTTCAGACATGATGCTACTGTGTCTAATGAAATACAGATACCAAGGTGATTTAGATTTAGAACCCATCTGTTCATCGGTTTCACACTTAACTCATAAAACCTTTAAAGAATCGCAGAATAGTTGTATAGTCTACATTTCCCCCTAGGGATAGAAGAAAAACGTATGTCGTAAGAGTCTTTTTCTGGATTTTTGCAGGTCAACGTGCTTTGAACACATTGCACATTTAGATTTAAAACAAAACAATAACATTGACTATTCTGGGTACACTGGGAAATATTTTATAAATATATTTTAAGACTTTTTCAGATGTTTTGTTGCTCAAATGCTATGTTATATCCTAGCTGTTCATCTTTAAAACATTCTCTGGTACGCTAATGAATTGTTTGTGTATTTCTACGTGATACTGAATCGATATTGAATCGAATTGTGATTGAAAGAATCAAAATCGAATTGTGAGATTCTTAACAATACCCAGCCCTATGGATGTTTGATAAACATTGTATATTTACTGTATTTCAGAGCATACAACGAGTCATTCTTTTTTTCTAATATATTGTTGTAAAAAAGAGGATAAAACCAACCCTCATATCCTATTTTTGGCATATCAAGATGTTGAATGCCACTATTAACAAAAAAGGACAGAAAGTGACAAATGAATTCTTATCAGGTTCACTGCTGGCAAGTTCTAAGGTTAATAAGGCAATAGAGCTATTTTTTCAATAGAGCCATATATATGGCTAAACCTTTTTCTCTGGGTTTCTCCTTCACAGGTCACTAGATCAGGTTTTCTGGGATTGAACTGTGGGGGAGAAAAAAAAAGAAAACCTCCCTCGCAGGAGTCTTCCCATTTTCGTCTTTATTTCAATGCACAGTCTCAGGAGGGAGCTCCACTGTACAATGTTTTTTACTGAACCAGCTCAAAGATAAAGTGTTTTTTTTCAGTGATGTTGTGGGATGATCTTGAGTTCACCCCGGTTTAGAGAAGACACTCTGATCTTATGTTGACTTTGACCTGAGTTCAGACGATCAGTTTGTTTTTTTGTTTGTCTTTTTTTGCAGGTTTAGCAAAACCCATTCATTCATCCTAGCTGGCTAATCCCGTCCATGGTCACAGGGGAAGCTGGAGGCAATTCCATCAGACATCGAGCGAAAGGCAGCGAGAATCATTGACAGGTCAGTGGTCCAGAACAAGGATGAAATACTGGGACAAAAAAAAACTATCCGCCATTCCATCCTTAATTAGCTTCCCCATTAACCTAATTCCCAATTGCTATGTTATTTTTGGACTGCCCCTTACTGTATTATGAACATTCTAATTTAATTCTCCATAAAGTTAATTTTTTCCTCCCCATGTTAGGGCAATGAGTACGAAGAATGTAGAGGGAGGTAGTGTCTTATTTTAGCCTTTCTAAAAACAAACGCCTGAAATCTTGTATTTAAAAAGAAATTACAGACACGAGCCTGTTCAGATCACTAGTTTGCTTACAGTGGTAACTCAAATGTACTACTCGACAAACCAGAGCAGTGGAGGGGAGACATTTGCATGTGGAACAGCTAACTGGCAGCCATCATCTTGGTAAAAAAAAGCCTAGACAGAACATGCAATCACTGCATTTTGAAGCTTAAAATAGCCATGCAAACAAGACAGAATAATAACCTCTCTGGTTAGTGAAGGCCACTGCTGTGTCCTGATTTGCTCCAGTCGGTTTGGTATTTATCAGTGGGGTGTTTTCCCAGATAAATTAAGCACAGACTGATTTCACTAAATGGTTCACTCTCAAATCCTGTAAGGCGATGGATGACGTTGAATACCAGGGACCCCCCTGTATTTATATTTTTGTTTTCGTTCGACTAAAGACTAAAGTTTGCTTTGACCTTATTACGGCTGATTTAGTGTTGAAAATCACCCCTCCCTGCAGTGCCCAGGCTGCAGTCTCAGGTGACTGGCGTCCACTGCCTCACCCTCCACTGTCCTTCGTGCGACCGCAGGGCTCTCATTTGTGAAGCGAGCGCATTATCCACTCTGGCTTCCATAAAGACAGAAGAGTGAATGGGGAGACGGAGAGCAGGAGGTAATGATCCGCAGTGTCCAGGTGAAATTAGCTTCATTAATCACTCCATTGATTGGTCGGCCGCAGGAGCACCAGCTCTTCCCCTGTCTCTCGTTCACTGTATGCGCAGATGAAATATGCAGACTGGCACTGTATCAGTGCCGAGGTGTAAATGATATGTGTCGATGCCACAGGTATACTCGTTTGGAAATACAGCTGTCTCCTCATGCTGCTTTGTTTCTCAGTCTGCAAATTAAGACGAGGACCGTTTTCAGACCTCCGCCGTCCTCCATGTATCCAAAAAACATCACACTGAGCAGTGTTTTGACCAGAAATCTTCTATATCCTGCTCTTGTTTTTCTTTCTTTTTACTGTAGTTTCTGCCGCGACGCGATCGGCGGCCTGTGAAGGTTTCATTTTTAAGTATTTTGATGTTCAAGTTTCATTGATTTTACTACCTCAGGAAACATCGTTACTACGTATCAGCCATTGTGAGTATCAGATACACCTGCAAACAACCTGGAACTGGAGCTTTGTGCTATGTTCCTGTTTTTTTTTTTTTAAGAATAACAATAAAGAACCGCAATATATTTTATCCCCACATTAAACCGAATGGTGTTCAGCTGGTGCTGTACAAACAACCCAACACTTGTACCTGTCTGCTCCGTGCTGTAACAAGTAACAAGCTGGAAAACAGTAACTGTAAGCCACAGCAATAAAACCCAGCGCTGAAAAAAAAAAAATCATGTTTATATCAGATGTTAAGCTTTATACCTGAACTGGCCAGACATTTATGGGGATTTTCCTTTCTCTTGTGGGCGCCACGAGCATCTGTTCTGGAAATCAGATCAACTAGCCCACCAAAAAGACAAAGCGGATTTGCATTTTCCCAACCGAATCCATCCTCTCGCTTTAGAAGGGAATGCTGATTACGGGCCAGTCGGCGTGATTTATTTTCCATGTTCTTGCGAGTAATCTTTAACGCTGAATGTGGAAAACACTGAATAGAGAATTCAGGGAGACGTGTTTCTGTTATGTAACAGAAGATCCCAGTTTTGTTTGAAAATTGTGTGAAAAGCACATGGAAAAATAATCATCCACCACTCGATGCTTTTTTTTGTAGACGAGGACTTTAGGAAATCGTGGTTATGTCTCCGTCTGCAACAAATTTATTTAGAAAGATTTGTTCCATCATTTCGACGTACAGCATTAAAACTCGCCAAGTAGGTCGTACGGGAACGAGCGGACAAGAATGTCGTCACGCGGCGATATACGCGGCTATAGGTGGCTTCGCCGGTTGTATTGCATTGTAGTTGGATTGTTATAATGCCAAGCTATTTACAGTAGTAGGGAATACAGTGAATGCTCATAGAAAAGTCAGAAAGGTCACTATATATACAGTATATATATATGTATATATATGTATATATGTATGTATTTATATATGTATATATGTATATATATGTTTATATATGTTTATATATATGTGTATATATGTGTATATTTATGTTTATTATATATGTGTATATCTCTCTATATATGTTTATATATACATTTATATATATATAT